GGGGCCCCGGGAGCAGCTCGGGCGGCGGCTCCGCATGGAGGGGGCTGCGGGGCGGGAGCGCGATTCCAGCGGCGCAGGCCCTGGAGCACAGGGCGCAGGGGGACACAGCCCCCCATCCTGAGCTCCCCCCGGACAGGCGGAGGCTGGGAGGGCCCAGGACGGTGAGGACCCTCCTGCCCCGGTCGCCCCTGAGCTGTGCAGATCGATGCACCGCCCCTGGAGCATCCAGGCCCGAGCGGACTGGGAGCTTTGGGAGTTACTGCGGGAGCTGACTCCAGGGCTGGAGAGCTGGCCCCACCAGTGGTGGTCCTCCTGGTGTCACCCTGTGCCTGGGACCAAGCAGGGCCACGAGGGAGCAGGGGCCTCACGGGGTAAACAGCTCCCACTGAGCCCAGCCCCCGGCGGGGTGCAGGGCAGCTCCCCCAGGTGCACACACCTGAGAATCAGCACAGCAGGCCCCTCCCCCAGAAGACCAGCTAGAAGGACAAGGGAAGAGCAAGTTCTTGGCGGAGCAGCCCTGGAAAGCTCCAGCGCTGGAAATCGAGAGATTTACAGTATATAGAAGCAGAGGGTACCCTTCTTCTTTTTTTTTTCTTCCTTTTTCCAGTACAACTCATTTTTATATCAGACTGTAAATTTCCATTTTTTTAAATCTTTTCCCACCTTAACTACAATATTTTACCACCTCTTCATTTTTAAGATTCTTCCTTTTTGACTTTCATATTTCTACAAATACAGGTCCTAGATATACTTTCCACCTCTAGATTCCCTTCAACGTACTCAACTTAATTTTGGGAGATATACAAGATATGTTTTGTTTTGTTTTGTTTTGTTTTGTTTTCTGTTTTTTGTTTTCTCTGCCTCATTTTGTTCTACAATGGGGGAAGTTAATACCTACTAAAACATGACCCATATGCACCCAGAACCAAGCAGTATATCATGCTGGCTCACTCTGTGAGATTCCTCATTCCCATTCTGCCCCCCTCTTTTATCTCATTTATGTTTTGGTGGTCAATGTTGCGGCCCTCTACAAGTATTTCTGGTTTATATAAATTTGGGACTGAGCATCTTCTAACATACAGAATTTAATATACTTAGAAAGAAGAGCACCACCCTCTAGAACCCCTCAGGTAGACTACATTATGCCTCCACTACAACTTCTTCACCACCACTATCTCGCAGTACCCCCCTTTTTTCTTCTCTTTTTTTTCTTTTTCCTTTTCTCTTCTTCTTTAGGATTCCTAGCATTTATTTTTTACTACTTTGCCTTAAAATTTGTTTTTTAAAAAAATAAAATAAATAAAATTTGTTTTTCACTTTAATGCTCCTTTTATTTTATTTCATTCTGATCTTTGTTTTCAATTTCTGGTATCTGACCTTGGCAGAATTGTCTAGCGAGAAATTTACATAGGTCGTGGTTGATATTCTTGATGCAGCCCACTCATACAGCCACTTTGCACTGAGCAAAATGTCTAGAAAGAAGAACTCACCACAAAAGAAAGAATCAGAAACAGTACACTCTGTCACAGAGTTACATAATTTGAATTACAATTCAATGCCAGAAAGCCAATTCAGAAGCACAATTATAAAGCTACTGGTGGCTCTGGAAAAAAAGTATAAAGGATTAAAGAGACTTCATGACTGCAGAGTTTAGATCTAATCAGGCCGAAATTAAAAATCAATTAAAGGAGATGCAATCCAAACTGGAGGTTCTAACAATGAAGGTTAATGAGGTAGAAGAACGAGTGAGTGACATAGAAGACAAGTTGATGGCAAGGAAGAAAGCTGAGGAAAAAAGAGAAAAAACAAAAGACCATGAGGAAAGGTTAGGGGAAATAAATGACAGCCTCAGAAGGAAAAATCTACATATAATTGGGGTTGCAGAGGGCACCGAGAGGGAGAGAGGACCAGAAAACATATTTGAGTAAATCATAGCTGAAAGCTTCCCGAATTTGGGGAGGGAACAGGCATTCAGATCTAGGAGATAGAGAGGATCCCCCGCTAAAATCAATAAAAACTGTTCAACATTTCGACATTTAATAGTGAAACTTACAAATTCCAAAGATAAAGAGAAAATCCTTAAAGCAGCAAGAGACAAGAGATCCCTAACATATATGAGGAGAACTATTAGATTAACAGCAGAACCCTCCACAGAGACCTGGCAGGCCAGGAAGGGCTGGCAGAACATATTCAGGGTCCTAAAGGAGAAGAACCTGCAGCCAAGAATACTTTCTCCAGCAAGGCTCTCATTCAGAATAGAAGGAGAGATAAAGAGCTTCCAAGATAGGCAGGAACTGAAAGAATATGTGACCACCAAAACAGCTCTGCAGGAAATATTAAGGGGGACTCTGTAAAAGAAAGAGGAAGTCCGGGGATCCCTGGGTGGCGCAGCGGTTTGGCGCCTGCCTTTGGCCCAGGGCGCGATCCTGGAGACCCGGGATCGAATCCCACGTCAGGCTCCCGGTGCATGGAGCCTGCTTCTCCCTCTGCCTGTGTCTCTGCCTCTCTCTCTCTCTCTGTGACTATCATAAATAAATAAAAATTAAAAAAAAAAGAAAGAGGAAGTCCAAAGAAATAATCCACAAAAACAGGGACTGAATAGGTATTACGATGACACTAAATTCATATCTTTCAATAGTAACTCTGAACATGAATGGGCTTAATGATCCCATCAAAAGACACAGGGTTTCAGACTGGATAAAAAAGCAAGACCCATCTATTTGCTGTCTACAAGAGACTCATTTTAGACCTAAGAACACCTCCAGCCTGAAAATGAAAGGTTAGAGAACCATTTGCCATTCAAATGGTCCTCAAAAGAAAGCAGGGGTAGCAATCCTCATATCAGATAAATTAAAGATGATCCCAAAGACTGTAGTAAGAGATGAAGAGGGACACTATATCATACTTAAAGGATCTATCCAACAAGAGGACCTAATAATCATGAATATGTATGCCCCTAATGTGGGAGCTGCCAAATATATCAATCAATAACCAAAGTAAAGACATACTTAGATAATAATACACTAATCCTGGGAGACTGCAACACAACACTTTCTGCAAATGACAGATCTTCTAAGCACAACATCTCCAAAGAAAAAAGAGCCTTAAATGATACATTGGACCAGATGGATTTCACAGATATATACAGAACTTTGCATCTGAATGCAACTAAATACACATTCTTTTCAAGTGCTCATGGAACTTTCTCCAGAATAGACCACATACTGGGTCACAAATCAGGTCTCAACTGATACCAAAAGATTGGGATTGTCCAATGGTCTGCATATTTTCAGACCATAATGCTTTAAAACTTGAACTCAATCACAAGAAGAAATTTGGAAGAAACTCAAACATGTGGAGGTTAAAGAGCATTCTGCTAAAAGATGAAAGGGTCAACCAGGAAATTAGAAAAGAATTTAAAAGATTCATGGAAACTAATGAAAATGAAGATACAACCGTTAAAAATCTTTGGGATACAGCAAAAGCAGTCCTAAGAGGGAAATACATTGCATACATTGCAATACAAGCATCCCTCAAAAAATTGGAAAAAAACTCAAATACACAAGCTAACCTTGCACCTAAAGGAACTAGAGAAAGAACAGCAAATAAAACCTACACCAAGCAGAAGAAGAGAGTTAATAAAGATTCAAGCAGAACTCAATGAAATAGAGACCAGAAGTTTAGAACAGATCAATAAAATCAGGAGTTGGTTCTTTGAAAGAATTAATAAGATAGATAAACCATTAGCCAGCCTTATTAAAAACAAAAGAGAAAAGACTCAAATTAATAAAATCACAAGTGAAAAAGGAGAGATCACAACTAATACCAAGGGAATACAAACGATTTTAAAAACATATTATGAGCAGCTATACACCAATAAATTAGTCAATCTAGAAGAAATGGACGCATCTCTGGAAAACCACAAACTACCAAAACTGAAACAGGAAGAAATAGAAAACCCGAACAGGCCAATAACCAGGGAGGATACTGAAGCAGTCATCAAATACCTCCCAAGGCACAAAAGTCCAGGGCTGGGTGGCTTCCCCGAGGAATTCTATCAAACGTTTAAAGAAGAAACAATACCTATTCTACCAAAGCTGTTCTGAAAGATAGAAAGGGATGGAATACTTCCAAACTCGTTTTATAAGGCCAGCATCACCTTAATTCCAAAAACAGACAAAGACCCCATCAAAAAGAATTATAGATCAATATCCCTGATGAACGCAGATGCAAAAATTCTCAACAAGATACTAGCCAATAGGATCCAACAGTACATTAAGAAGATTATTCACCACGACCAAGTGGGATTTATACCCGGGATGCAAGGCTGGTTCAACACTCGAAAAGCAGTCAACGTGATAGATCATATCAACAAGAGAAAAAACAAGAACCTATGATCCTCTCAATAGATGCAGAGAAAGCATTTGACAAAACACAGCATCCATTCCTGATTAAAATTCTTCAGAGTGTAGGGATAGAGGGAACCTTCCTCTGCATCTTAAAAGCCATATCTGGAAAGCCCACAGCAAATATCATTCTCAATGGGGAAACATGGGAGCCTTTCCCCTAAGATCAGGAACACGACAGGGGTGTCCACTCTCACCACTACTATTCAGCATAGTACTAGAAGTCCTAGCCTCAGCAATCAGGCAACAAAAAGAAGTAAAAGGCATTCAGATTGGTGAAGAAGAAGTCAAACTCTCCCTCTTTGCAGATGACATGATACTATACATAGAAAACCCAAAAGACTCCACCCCAAGATTGCTAGAACTCATACAGAGATTCAGCAGCATGGCAGGATACAAAATCAATGCCCAGAAATCAATGGCATTTCTTTCTTTCTTTCTTTCTTTCTTTCTTTCTTTCTTTCTTTCTTTCTTTCTTTCTTCTTTCTTTCTTTCTTTTTTTTTCTCTTTCTGGGGCTTTATCCACGGGGACACAGAAATGACGAGAGGAATGTCAGAATATCAGAGCATATGACAGGTGAAGGGAGGCAGAGGTGGGAAGAGTGTGTTCTAGCCACAAGGCCACCACATTCATGTTTAAAGAGAAGTCAGAGCGATTGGGGAAAAAAACCCCAAACACAAAACAAAACCCAAGTCAGAGGAAAGAAAGGTTTCATACAACACAGTATCAAAAAAAGTAAAAGGAACACACTAAATGCACAAACTGGTGGCAAATAAGTCCATAGCCTATTGTGATAGGTCCTTCCAGCATCGATCAGGTTTCTTCTCCATCTGTTATCTCAAGGTTATTTACAGATGTGGTGACTTTGAATAAGAGTCTCTCACAGTAGGGTGGACAGGTTTCAATCATTGGTTTCTGGATCTGTTTGTGCCATGTAGGCATCCAACTCGGCATCCAGGTGTCCTTTTGTTTTCGACATGTATGCATCCAACTGGTTGTCCAGCTGCTCCTTGGTCAGCACAGGGCGAGTGAGGGCACCTCTCCCTCGTCCACGGCCTCCGCCTCGGCCTCCAAAGCCCCCTCTTCCCCGACCTATCATACCCCGACCTCTACCACCGATTCCGCCACGACCCATAGCTCCACGCCCTAGGCCCCCTCTCCCAGGACCTCCACAACCTCGAACACCACCTCTTCTTAAGCCCATTCGGGGAGCTACGGCTCGTCCACCTCGGAGCAGGTTTTGACCTCGGAGCGACATCCCGCCCCTAAGCAGGGTTCTGGTGGCACGTCCCCCATGCAGTCCTCCTCGGGGTAAGCCTCTCTGGATTATGGGCAGGCCTCGTCCTCCGATTGCTCCCCTGGCCAGGGTCCCTATGGGTCGGCCTAACCGTGCCTGGATGTTACTCTTACCCAGGCGCTGCCTTAAGCTCTGCTTAAGTTTCAATGCTGCCTGGACAGAGGGTCTATTCTCCATCTGCTGGGCCAGTCTTCTGTTTCTGGCACTGGCTAGCTGCTGCTGTTGCTGCATCGAAGCCCGAGTATTCCTGGCATCGGCTGTTTGTTCTCCAGCATATTAGTAAAGCGCTCATTTAGAGACATCTTGGTGGTGCTTTTTAGCACAACTTTCGGCGCTGACTGTGCAGGCATCTTCAAATCCAGAGAATCGAAGGAAACGGACGCCAGTGCGCCTCCCGGGGCTGCCATCACGGCTGCAGCGCGCAGGCCGGGGCCCGGCAGAACCTGACTTGACTTGGGGGGCGGTTGGTTAGAGATGTAAGCGGTAGGTTGCTAGGTTAGCTCGTTGTTGCCGGCTGGCTGTCTGGTCGGCCGGGTCCGCCTGCTTGCCCGGCCTGCCCTTTCCTGCCTTGTGTCGGTGCCACCACAGCCGCCTCCGCCGCCTCCCGCTCGGTGTCCCATCAATGGCATTTCTATACACTAACAATGAAATTGAAGAAAGAGAAATTAAGGACTCAATCCCATTTACAATTGCACCCAAAAGCATAAGATAGCTAGGAATAAACCTAACCAAAGAGGTAAAGGATCTATACCCTAAAGACTACAGAACACTTCTGAAAGAAATTGAGGAAAACACAAAGAGATGGAAAAATATTCCATGCTCATGGATTGGAAGAATTAATATTGTGAAAATGTCTATGTTATCCAGGGCAATTTACACATTCAATGCAATCCCTATCAAAATACCATGGACTTTCTTCAGAGAGTTGGAACAAATCATCTTAAGATTTGTGTGGAATCAGAAAAGACCCCAAATTTAAAAAGAAAACCAGACCCGGGGGCATCACAATGCTGGATTTCAAGTTGTACTGCAAAGCTGTGATCATCAGTATGGTACTGGCACAAAAACAGACACATAGATCAATGGAACATAATAGAGAACCCAGAAATGGGCCCTCAACTCTATGGTCATATAATATTTTACAAAGCAGGAAAGACTATCCACTGGAAAAAGGACAGTCTCTTCAATAAATGGTGCTGAGAAAATTGGAAAGCCACGTGCAGAAGAATGAAACTAGACCATTCTCTTACATCATACACAAAGATAAACTCAAAATGGATGAAAGATCTAAATGTGGGACATGAATTCATCAGAATCCTAGAGGAGAACACAGGCAACACCCTTTTTTGAACTTGGCCTCAGCAACTTCTTGAAAGATACATCTATGAAGCCAAGGGAAACAAAAGCAAAAATGAATTATTGGGACTTCATCAAGATAAAAAGCTTCTGCACAGCAAAATAAACAGTTGACAAAACTAAATGACAACCTACAGAATGGGAGAGGATATTTGCAAATGACCTATCAGATAAAGAGCAAGTATTCAAGATCTATAAAGAACTTATTAAACTCAACACCCAAGAAATAAACAATCCAATCATGAAATGGGCAAAAGACATGAACAGAAATTTCACCAAAGAAGACATAGACACAGCCAACAAGCACATGAGAAAATGCTCAGCATCACTGGCCATCAGGGAAATACAAATCAAAACCACAATGAGATACCACCTCACACCAGTGAGAAGGGGGAAAATTAACAAGACAGGAAACAACAAATGTTGGAGAGGATGTGGAGAAAGGGGAACCCTCTCACACTTTGGTGGGAATGTGAACTGGTGCAGCCACTCTGGAAAACTGTGTGGAGGATCCTCAAAGAGTTAAAAAATAGAGCTACCCTATTACCCAGCAATTGCACTGCTGGGGATTTACCCCAAAGATACAGATGCAGTGAAATGCTGGGTCACCTGCACCCAAATGTTTATAGCAGCAAAGTCCAAAATAGCCAAACTGTGGAAGGAGCCTTCCATCAACAGATGAATGGATAAAGAAGCTGTGGCCTATATATACAATGGAATATTACTCAGCATTAAAAACAACAAATACTCACCATTTGCTTCAATGTGGATAGAACTGGAGGGTAATATGCTGAGTGAAGTAAGTCAATCGGAGAATGACAAACATTATATGGTCTCATTCATTTGGGGAATATAAAAAATGGTGAAAGGAAATAAAGGGGAAAGGAGAGAAAATGAGTGGGAAAAATCAGAGAGGGTGACAAAACGTGAGAGACACCTAACTCTGGGAAACGAACAAGGGGTAGTGGAAAAGGTGGTGGTGGGGGGATGGGGTGACTGGGTGATGGGTACTGAGGGGGGCACTTGACAGGATGAGCACTGTGTGTTATGCTATATGTTGGCAAATCGAACGCCAATAAAAAATATACAAAAAAAAAGAACTAAAAAATGAATTTAGCAAGGGTGCAGATTATAAGATAAAGATGAAATCACATTTTTGTATGCTGGAAACTAACAATCAGGAACTCAAATTTTTAAATTATACAATGAGAAGGAATACCTGGGTGAAAAAATATATAAAACCTTTAAAAAATAAATTATACAAAGGGTAACAGCATTATCTGACAGTTGTGTAAGACTTATAGAGTAAAACCTATACTTTTTAAAAAAATTCATTCATGAGAGACACACACACACAGAGGCAGAGACACAGGCAGAGGGAGAAGCAGGCTCCATGCAGGGAGCCTGATGTAGGACTTGAACCCGGGTCCCCAGGATCATGCCCTGGGCCAAAGGTGGTGCTAAACCACTGAGCCATCTGGGCTGCCCTGTATCTTCTTAAATTTAAAGAAATTTCTTCTTAAATTCTTTTGGTCTATTGATTCAGTACAATCTCAGTCAAAATTGATAAGCTGATTCTAAAATGTATATGGAAATATAAAAGACCTTAATTAGGTAAAAATGCTTGAAGAAAGAAACAGAGTTGGAAGATTTACACTATCTGACTTTGACTCATCTTAATCTTAAAGTTACAGCAATCAAGACAGTGCTAGGTTTGCAATTTAACAAAATGCTTGTTCAAATCTTTTGCTTATTTTATTATTGAGTTTTGAGAGTTCTTTTATACTCTGGATACAAGTCCTTTATCAGATACTTGATGTCCAATTTTTTTCTTTTTCTAGCCTACGACTTTTCAGTTTCTTGAGAGTGTCTTTTGATGAGCACAAATTTTAGTTTTGACCAAGGCCAATCTATATATATATTTTTTTTCTCTTATAGATAGTGCTAGTGCATCATGTCTAAGAAATTTTTGCCAAACCTAGGGTCACAAAGATCTTCTCCTGTTTTCTTCCAGAAATTTTATAGCTTTAAGATCTTGAATTAAAGTCTATAATACATTTGGAGAAACTGAGAAGCCTATGGCCCTTTCAAGTGATCTTGATCTCACAGCCAAGACAACTTACTTTTTAGCTCAATGAGCTTGAGTGATTGTTGATGGTTGTGTGTAGACTACAATGTGTTCAGTTGGGAGTATCAGAATAACATCTTTAACTGACTTAATCAATAGGAGTAATTGTTGGTTTATCAACTGCAAGCTTAAAGTTAGGTAGGTTACCAGTTTGGTTTAGTTCAGCAGCTCAGTGATGCCACCAAGGTCAGATTCTCTGCTGTCAGATGCTTCCTGATTTGCATGCTTCTTGGCTCACATGAAGATTTCCTACACCTCTTCAGAGCTCAGTGAGAAAGGGGGATTGCTGGCTAGAAGCCCCTATCAAATCCCAAATTGGTCCACATATCTAACTCTGAGTGTACAGCAGTAGACAGCAGTTAGGAAGCAATTATGATTATTGTAAGTATGAGCCACATGCTTTACCACCAGAGGCAAGGGACAACCACTTCCCTAAATGCACATGGATTGTGCACACCAGCTAGGGAAGGTGAAGTATAAATTGAGGTAACTTTTAGAAAAAAAGGGCATGTTGAGGCAACATCAGTGTCCATTACAGAAGGATTTAGGGATGGGGACAAGACGGTTTGGGTAATGTCCTATATCTGAAAAAAATTAAAATTTTCCATAGAAATTACTATTATTTGCAGATTTATGATTATATATCGGGAAAACTCAAAACAATCAAACAAAATAATAAAGACACTAAAGTGGCTGATGGCAAAATTAACATGCAATCATAGTTTTCCTTATATAAACTACTATCAGTTAGAAAATATAATAAACATAGGAAAATATGCATATGGCAAACAAAAGGATGAAATGCTTAGGAATAAATATTTTTAAAAAATATTAAGGCTTTATGTGAAAAATACTTTCAAATTCTACTGAAGTATATTTTTAGGAGACTTGAATAAATGCCTTGGATAAGAAATTCAATGTTATGACAATGTTCAATTGTCCCTAAATGAATCTATAAATCTGATGCAAGCTCAATAAAAATACGAACAGGATTTTTCTTAAGCATGGGAAATTAAGACAAGTTGTTTCTAAAGTTTATGTGCAAAATAAAGAGGCAAGAGTTGCCAGAAAAATGAAAATTAAGAGTTACAAGGGAGGACTCATCTTTATCACAAAGTATCATGAAAGTGTAATAATTGAGTTTGTTCTTGTCTCCCTATGACTAAGCAATAGCTGTGGAAGAGAAAAGAGTCCACAAATACTGAAAATGTACCTTGAAATTCAGGGTACAAAAAGGGGTATATTTAGGGGATCCCTGGGTGGCTCAGTGGTTTGGTGCCTGCCTTTGGCCCCGGGGTGTGATCCTGGAGACCTGGGATCAAGTCCCACCTCAGACTCCCAGCATGGGGCCTGCTTCTCCCTCTGCCTGTGTCTCTGCCTCTCTTTCTCTCTCTGTGTGTGTCTTTCATGAATAAATAAATAAAATCTTTAAAAAAAAAGGGGGGTATATTTCTTTTCTTTCTTTCTTTTTTTAAGATTTTATTTATTTATTTATTCATGAGAGACACAGAGAGAGAGGCAGAGAGACAGCTAGAGGGAGAAGCAGGTTCCTCGCAGGCAGCCGGATGCAGCACTTGATCCCAAGACAGGGATCATGCCCTGAACCAAAAGCAGATGCCCAACCACTGAACCAACCAGGCGTCCCAAAAAGGAGTATATTTCAGATAAGAAAAAAAAAATAGGTTCGGACACCTGGGTGGCTCAGCAGTTGAGCATCTGCCTTTGGCTCAGGGCCTGATTCCAGATACCTGGGATCGAGTCCCACATCAAGCTCCCTGCATGGAGCCTGCTTCTCCCTCTGCTTGTGTTGTGTCTCTGCCTCTCTCTCTCTCTCTCTGTGCCTCAATAAATAAAATCTTAAAAAATAAATAAATAAATAAAATAAAAAACTAAATGCTGATAAATCAAAGA